ACGTAACCGATTAAAAAAGTAATGATATCAAAATAAAGGCAATTAATCCATCTTTAAGTTCATATATAAAATGCGTTTGCTTGCTTATATATTTAAGCCAAAAATATTAAAAAACAAATAAAATGTTATAATTTTTCATAAAATAACCTTTTTTAGAAAAAAGTGCATAATCAATGCTAAAGACATATATATTATTTAGAAAGTGCAAGTTCTTACCTTTAATTTGATATGCATATTTTATTATGATCTACTTTTGAGGTTTAAGAAATTAGTGATAAAAAAAATTAAAATCATTTACAAGCAAAAGTGACAAGTGTGGGTGATATCATAGTTTCTTTTGCCCAGAACTTCTTTCTGCGTAGGCGGCCTTCGGCCGCACTTAGTGATTATAACCCTCACTAAGTAGAATTCTCCTTTCTGTGTTGCTTTAAGAAGTGAGGCTGAACACCTTTTGCAGAGAACACCTTTCTGCGTAGGCGGCCTTCGGCCGCACTTAGTGGTTATAACCCTCACTAAGTAGAATTCTCCTTTCTGTGTTGCTGAAGAAGTGAGGCTGAACACCTTTTGCAGAGAACACCTTTCTGCGTAGGCGGCCTTCGCTTATGGATCATAACCCTTACTAAGTAAAATTCTCCTTTCTGTGTTGCCAGACAATAAAAACACATCACTTTTTTTCCACTTTAAAAACAAAATATTCGACTTAAAAGGGCTTACAGAAATCATTAAAAGCTACACCTACTCTTCTTCCATAACCTCAATTTCAAAATCCTCTGCTTCTTCCGGCATGTATGGATTCAGTGGATTGTATAATGCACCAGCCAGTTTAAAAAAATTGCTCAGCGGATCCAAACCTGCATGTTTGCAATGCCTCACAAACATAAATTTTGCCAAATATCCACTAAAAAACTTTTTGTTTCGATGGTACTGCGGCATTGGATATTTGACATGCCGCCAAAATCCCTCAATTGTATTTGTGTGTTGTTGCGTTTCTGGGTCTTTAAAATTAACCGAATGGTTAACTTTAAAGTGAACGTACCCTTCATCACTTAGGCAGTCATACGCCTGCAACGAAAAACATTTTAAATTTATATATATATATATTTATATTTATATAAACATATATGGGCACTTAGGCATTAAACTCACCTTCCAAAAATCGGAAACTATGGTCGTGTTAGGAAGAATCCAATTCTTTATAACTGCCAATAAAGTTTCCTTATCCCGCTTTTCAACGGGAACAAGAAAACACTTATTGGTACCACGCTCCACTCCACCAAAAACCCATTGCCCTTCAACAGCGTGTCCACGATGATACTTCCGGCGTCCGAATTTGCTTTCGTCTATCTCAACAATAGACCCGACACCTCCAATTTTCCGCCCCTTTACAACCATGCCGTCATACACTACCTCACGGCAAAAATTACACCAATCAACTGCGGTCGGTCTTGTAATACTTAACTCCTCAATTATAAAATCTTGTGTCACATTCTTCAACCAAAAGTAAGAAAATGCAATGAGCTTCACCATCGATAGCCTCGACCTATCAAAGAATGTGTTTTTTCTTAATGAAATTTGCTGATTACACGTTCGCACTTGCTTTCCAGACTTCGAAATTTTACGGCACCTACACATGATTTTTTTTTGTATTACAGTTTAATAGACGCACGGTAAACTTACCTCCAAACGAATCCATCCGATGATGCAGTGCACTCCAACAATTTCAGCGGATGGCCCCGAGCGCATAAATATTGCCCTTCACAAGGAATTAAATTCCACTCCTGCAACTGTTCGAGCACATTTGCATTAATCTTAAGACCGTCCTCACTTTCAAACATTTTATATATTTTAAATAAATTAAGAGTATTCATCTTTTTAAAAAATATTCAAAACACGTTTTTTATCTCCGCCGGAACACAAACAAATGAAAAATAGCTGTAAGTATATACATATATGTACATATAAAACGGCATAAATTTTCCCGCTTCCAACAAAAAAAGTACCCTTTCCAAAAAAGTCCGTTAACTCGCCTTGTTTAATTAACTAAAATATGCATTTGCAAATACATACATTTATATTTTTTATTATCACTGAATTCTGAAAACTCAAAAGCAAATCATAATATAATAAGTATATCAAATCAAAGGTAAGAACTTGCACTTTTTCAATAATATAAATTTTTTTAGCATTGATTATGGACTTTTTCTAAAAAAGGGTTATTTTATGAAAAAATTATGACATTTTTTTGGTTTTATAATATTTTTGGCTTAAATATATAAAAAAGCATACACATTTTATATATCAGCTTGAAGATAAATTAATTGTCTTTATTTTGACATCATTAGTTTTTAAATCGGTTACGCAGTTTAGAAAATATTAATGTTTTAAAATATCACAATTTTTTTGTTTTACCTCTTATATCTGCTTTGCTTTTTAATTGCGGCAAATAATATTTATATAGTTAAAATCAGCGTAAAAAGTACTGGCAATCTGCATTTTTAGTTTTTCTATAGCAGAACGGTTGGTTATCTTGATGTATGCCAGTATCACCACCTTGTAATATTGCTGAATAGCATCAGTTTTGGCCTATCATTGTTTTTCCTGAGTCGTTCTTCACATTCCACTACATACACACTTGAATAAAGCATCGTTTATTACACTGGCGACGAGGTAAGCGGATCAATAAGCAAAAAATGTCTTCCACTTTACTTGGATTAGTGCCTCATTTTGATTGTGACCATAATCTTTGGCACATTTTTAAGTCACAGCTACAACAATTTTTTAAAGAAAAATGGTCAAGTGCGAATCTGCGGTGATTTTGAAGTTTCAGTGAACCCCCATTTGGTAGTAGAAAAATACCCTTTGCCGCGAATCAAAGACATTTTCGCAAAATTGAACCGGGGAGTAGAGTTTAGCAAATTAGATACAGTTACGAGCAAAACTGTAACATGGTGTAGCACTTTTTATTTCAGCCGCCGCTATCTTTCCAAGTTTCAACGACTTTCATACCTTTGTTGTATATTCTAGTTGGTACACCCCTACTCCCTCTCTAATAACGATTTGAAGGTAATCCAACAACAATAAAAAAACTTGCAGACAAAAATGTAAATTAAGGCAAATGTTACAGTTTTGCACTCACTCTCAGTTTTACATTTTACAGTTATCTTTTACTTAGTTGGAAGTCAGATGACTTTTTTCTGTATTGTAATTTATTCAAGAAATGATCACCAGTAAATAATATGGTTAACCTGGAAACATAAATGTATATAATAGATTTACTGCGGCAAGGCGGGACCGCAGGAAAAGTGCCAACAAATTGTGGAGTTTGCCACATGAAAATTTTTAGACTGAGAAAAAATATAGCCTAAAGTGTTACTAAGTACGAGGGAATCCTGTCAAAAATTATTACGGTCCGATATCTTGTGAACTTAGCAGCAAGTAGCGATGCAGCCACTATTACAGAAGCGCTTAAGGTATCAAAATTGAATGCAAATCAGTAGACAGCGAGGCGAAGAATTGCCAAATTGAGCGGAAAGGCAGTATAAAAGAAGAAAAAAACTATTTTGATCAAAATACATGTGCGAGAGTGGTAGCATTTCGCTGCATCGCACGAAAACCGGACCGTTGTCTATTGGGATATGTTAGGCCTTTCAGAATGCAATAAAAACACATTTTTAAGATTTAATTGAAAGTTATTTGGTCTGACAAGACTAAATTAATCGCT